ACTAATAATTCAAACAATTCCAAAATGTCGGTTTTATCCACGAAATGTTTAAAATGAATGGGAATCAAACAATAATAATCAGTTATTCAAGATTTAATAGGAATGAATAACACATTAGTGCCACAGATGTTTCTTCTCATGCCACGTCAGGCATAATTCTGATAATAGTCCAGTTATAGACCTAGGCCTACTAAAACGACCATTTCAGTTCTTTTGTTTTCTAATTTTTCATCTGCAATTGGGTTGTCCTCCCATTTCAGCAGTTTATAGTTTTGTCCCAAGGCCAATTTATGCACGTTCAGCATTGTCTACAATTTAATCGTAGGCCTACTGTTAAATTATTTAATTTAGCCTATCCCTTTTTCCTATTTGATTAGGAAGGATGAGGTCTGAGAAAGAGGCCTCATCTATTTCAAACTCTTCAGTTGTAATCCAAACGAATTACATGAGAGTAAAAACAACAAGACATTAATTTCTATGAGCTCAATATGCGCTTATGAATGAGACGTGCCTATCCGAGTCTCCTCTGAAATCCCAACTGGATGGTGATTGTACCCAAACAGGGCTGTGGCGCGGTGGGGGCTATAGGGAAGGCCTGCCCGCCACGGCTCCTCACTCCCCCCTCCGGCAGTGCTCTCGGCGGTCCCCGGTGCGCTCAGCTGATCAAAGCTCAAGTCAGAGGTAATATTTCTCACTTTATTACCGGATTCACGGCGTGTCTGCACGGTTAGTGATCACAGAGTCCACTGCCCACTCTCAAATCTCACTCGCCCGGTCACGTATCAGCAGCATACAAACATACAACTTATTTTGTTAAATGTATAGGGGTATTTCGCATAAGTAGGCCTACTGAATAGCCTAAACTAAAATGTTGTTTTTGTTGATTAAAAAAATGCATTTCAGAAAAAGGTTTTTATTAAACCTGAAAATAGGCTAATCATTATCTTCAACGAAATAGGGTTATTATCTGCATCTAGGATGAATGGCATGGACATGCTATTTAGAATATTAATATATGATTTAATAATTTTAAAGTGGGCTCTATTTAGGTTTTAAAAATGACACAGGGCCTATAGAAGCCAATGTAGGCTACATTACGTTTAGGCTAAATTGTATTAGGGGATTGTCTGATTCCATGACAAGTAACAATATAATATAATATAATAGAATAGAAATACAGACAAAAGTGTTGTGTTCAAAATAAGAATACCCTACACCTGTCACATGAAAAATAATTGTATATCTAGGCCTTACCACCGCTGACAGAATAGGCTATGCAGTTTAAGTCAACACAGACAAAAACCGATGCTTCGAAAAAAGTAAGTAGCCATTCTGACATATCCTACTCAACAGAGCAGGTCTCATATTTTGACTGGAGGAGAATGTGCAATGAGATGCGTTTAGTTCATGCCCTGTTTAGTGCCAGGTTTGGTTTGGTTTTGTGTTGTGCGTTTTTCAATCGATGGCTCCCTCTAGCCTTGCCCCAACGTTGCTCCCTGCATATACTGTAAAAGAGCAGTAGTAAAACCAAGCTCCCTTTGGAGCAGTCTGTCGCTGAGTATGGACATAAAGTGAGGAAATATACTGTAGAGGCAGATATGAAATGATATAGAGGCCTGCCTTGATATTGTTTTGTGGTGCCTATCTTAGAATTTTGGAGAAACTAAGTTTAGGAACTTTAGGCATCTTCAGTTGTGACATATGTAGCACATGTAGGCCTATACTTTTTCTTTGGGTAAATACAATTCGAATTTATCACTTCTGGATACGAAACGAAAATGCGTTGACTGGGTGAAAAACATTACTCCTATACGTATTACAGCAGTAATCCTTTTGCATTTAATCGCGTCATTGCCTCGAGGGGTCCTGAGATATTCATATATGTCTGATTTCGTTTTTATTCATGGATTAATCTCATTCTGTGGGTTATGCTGTACTGAATGGTTTATTCTTCTAAATCAGGAAAGATTATTCCCTGTGTGACAAGTCATATTTTACTGGTGCTGAAAATAACATGTTATTTATTTACAGCTATTTAGTACGTATGTACTTCCCATAAGTCAGTAGCCAAGTCTAAGTGTAAGAAGACTTTATATTCCTCAGTCAGAGCTTGTGGTATATACTATGACATCAGTTCTGGAAGGCTAGATATCTCACATAATAATCTATCCCTATTATGAAAAGTCTGAACATTTCACGCTGTCATTTGTGGCTGAGTTTAGTTTAATCGCCTAACTGTCAAAAGTCTTCTTCAGACAATTTTCTACCCCATTCTCTCTCTCTCTCTCATTTTATATTTTAGTCATTTAGCAGACGCTCTTATCTAGAGCGACATACAGGAGCAATTAGGGTTAAGTGCCTTGCTCAAGGGCACATCAACAGTTTTCACTTAGTCGGCTCGGGGAATCGAACCAGCATCCTTTCAGTTACTGACCCAACGCTCAATGACTGTACAGGTACATATGTCTATATTTAGGTGTAAAAAAAATCGAATTTCATCCAATTACTTCAAATCCCAAAGTGAAACTATGAGATCAAGTTGCTATATGAGGATGACTATAAACGTCTATATATTTATTATTTATGCCAAAGAGTTGACCAAACTATATGGTCTGAAGTGTCTCTGCTACGTCATCCATCTCTCTGTCTCTTCCCCTCTCTCCTCTCCCTCTCTCTCTCTTTCTCTCTCAGTGAGATGTTGGTGGAAATGTAACCTAATGCTTAGCATATGCATTAAAATCACTCACAGTCACACGCAGAGAGAGAGAGAGAGAGAGAGAGAGAGAGAGAGAGAGAGAGAGAGAGAGAGAGAGAGAGAGAGAGAGAGAGAGAGAGAGAAATAGATACCGGGGCGCGAGGATGTTGTGTGTGTGAGAGAGAGAGATCCCGGGGCTGGAGGATTTTGTGTGTTCTACTCTTATCTGTTATTCTTCCCCGGGGACAACACATGTCATCGAAAGGGTGCCGCAGTCAAAATAGGCGCTCCCCAGACGCTCCGAGGCAGCTGTCACCATGATTTTATAGTATGGGGCCGGTCGCGGCCTTGTCCTGCCCCCGCCTCCGTTTTACATGAGAAGTAGCCCATATGCACGAGGACGAGGAGGCGTGCTATTGAAACCAGATTTCAGACTGGAACGTTTGCACAAAAATACGCCGCTGCCCAACAGTGTGTGTGTGGGTGTGTGTGGGTGTGTGTGTGAGAGAGAGAAGTGAGATAGTGATGATGTAAGATTAGGTGTCATGAAGAAATGTAATCTCATTGGCTAGGAGAGAGTGAGAGCGGAGGCCTTTCGGATGATGGCTCCCTGTTGCGGTGTCACTCCGCGACAAGTGCGAACTGCCAACCATCCATGTGAGTTTATGTGTTGGCCTTGGCATCACTTTCCCTCCCAATGTCTGAAAGTATCCAATCAGTCATAATGCATTTAGTGTCAACACTTCACAAATAAAACTATTACAACTTCTTTACTTTTAATACTATATTTATTAAGCTATCATTTTACAGATGTTAGTTTGTGAAAGCAAGAACTCAAAAGATTAAAAGAGGATTCAACTTCCATTGAGCTTCCATTGAGCTTTAAAGACAGGTCTATGAAGGATGATTTAAAAACAATTGCAAAACTAAGAAATGCAAAACTAATAAATATGAAGGCTGGATATGTGAAGTCTAAAAACGCATCAATAGTAAGAACGTTTAGACATTCCTAAAAAATTAAGAGCAGTTTTGGTCCTGTAAAACTCTGAAAGTCTCGTAATACTTTCAGAGTTTTCAATAGGCCTACATAATGCATAGCCCCAACTATTTTGGAGTCTGCAAGCTTCTAGGTAATGTTTTTTGCTCCACTTCTTGTAATTGGATTGAAAGGCCTTAATTAAACGTCCTAAGGTGTTGAAGCCATCAGCAACTGTCACAATGATCTAGCAACCTGTAAACGTTTGAGCCTCTTCGTCTTTCACATCACCCATGCTCCACAAAAGATCAAAGAGAGCACAGCACTGCTGAGATGTATTGGTGGGCAACGTGGATTGAACTAGTGATGAAATAATGATCATGGCAAATAAATGATAACATGCATAAAAGGTAAGAAGAAGGCTATGTGCAGGCTATGTAAAAGCATATGATGAAAAAGGTTATAACAGCCACCAGGACATAGCCTATACCTCTGATTATTTCGAATTGTGAAACATAATTCCCGTTTTGGGTAAATACTAATCTCTAACCCATGTCGACTTCATTTCCCATAGGTAATGTACACATAATTGCGAATTTGTATTTAAACTATAATCTAAAATGTTTTAATCCCGAACCAAGAGAGCACTCACTAAAGCGTGTGCCACCACATTCGTTTTGGCGCATTGGAGAGGCTGCACATTCTAATAAAAAACATTCGGTCAATTTAAATATATGACTTATCTCTTGTCATTGATAATTTAATAACCTATTGTATGGCAAAAGTCAATTCACTTCTTTAGCCTATATACTATATGCTAAAACTTAGTCAAAATTAGATTTTCCCAAAAAAAGAAAAAAGAAACAAAAGCATGCATGCTTTTATCTAATCCATCCCATTTTGTTATATGAATATAAGATAGACATGCTACTGTTTTTAAAACTAAGACGAGCTCTCTCTCGCCCATGAGGAGGATCCATGCAGGATCAGGAGAGAACATTAAGATGCCCATATTTACCTTATCAAATGATTCTTCATGTCCATTCCCTCGCCGCAGACAATTGATAAACGGATTATTGTGCTGTTTTTACCTCAACGGTCGTCGTCTTTCCGTCCACATACATTCACTAACATATGACAGTTTCTGGGAATATTTGACAATTGGTTTCTTCAGTTCCCCATAAATAGTACAGAATGCACCGGCTCTGCTTTGAAGGGATAGCTAATGGTTACTTGCATGGCGCGCTGCTGATTGGCTTCTCCACTGCCTGACGTCACGATCCTGTGAATAAGGCTGGCTCGTGTGCTTTCAGGAACATGCAGAGTACTGGAGACTGAACACGGAGCGTCAACCCTGCACAGAGATGTCACACGCATCCTACCATCACTAGCATAATTTACCAAAAGAGAGCTCGAGGGGACAGCTAGCCAACAGAGCCGGAGGAAACACACTTTTCCTTGAAATATTTTTGTGGTTAATTATTTCGATTCTCATCGGGTGCTCAACAGTGGATAAGCGGTCATGTCAAAGAACATTGAATTATTTATAGGCACGCGAGTCTTGTTGTGTGACATTATTGCCCCAAAACCATTTAGTTAGATGTGCGTCTTCAACAGTAACTGGCACACATAGCTTTTTCGGCCAATGCTTCACTTTGACGACCACGGATACTTGCTGATAGGCTGTGGTGCTCGCAGTATAGCCAATCTTCAGAGGTGGCTTGATATTTTTTGCCATTTGATTGGCTTCATTTAAGCCGATGTGTGTTGGGTGTATGGGAGAGGATCAAAAGGACTGATTTTCGAGGCGTCAAAGGCTTTGGCACTACCTCACCCGGGAGGACGCATCCTGGCTAACGGTCGCCATCCTGAATTGCATCCTGGCTAACGGTCGCCATCCTGTACTTGGATCCTATAAACCTCCATGCTGACCATTTCAGAGGAGCGAAGAAGAGGTAGGATAGCGACCAGGCTACCCATCGACTTTTTATGTAAACACATTGAAAAAGGACCTCCGAGCGAATAAGGAACCAAATACTCCAAATACAAAACATCCAATGATCGGTGTGTGTTGTTGATTTGTTTTCTGCTCAAGTCAGTGTGAGTGAGACGAGCACAACCTCAGGAGGCTGAACAGAAACGGTTGTAGAGTAGGTGCAAATCCAAAGACGATGGTCCACTGTGCCGGGTGCGAGAGGCCTATACTGGACAGGTTTCTCCTCAATGTTCTGGACAGAGCGTGGCACGTCAAGTGCGTACAGTGCTGCGAGTGTAAATGCAATTTAACAGAGAAATGCTTTTCTCGAGAGGGGAAACTATACTGCAAAAACGACTTCTTTAGGTAAGATTGACCGGTGGGAGCTTGCTCCCTTTCATTCGTCCTTTACTACAGGAATTATTATTTCAGATGTATAGTCTTGGATAAGCATTGCCATGTTTCTGTTTAGTAAACACTACTATCCTAATGTTCTCAGTCAAATGCATAATTTTCCCAAAAAAGACTCATAAGGATATAATGCAAACACAAAACATTTTCAATATAATTTATTATAGGCTAATAATGAACATATAAACACAGGTATTTGTTTAGTGTAACAAAAAAAAACAGAGGTGAATCTCTAACTTCTGAACTAATGAACTCAAAAGTAGAGCCTATAAATCATTTAAAAATAAATTGCAAAACTATCTAAAGACATACGATAATTACACCTCATACCTTCAAACTGTGCTTTAGACAACTGTTAAGCCAATAATTGTTTGCCTTTTTCTCTCAAAACATTTACCATTATCATTTACATTTTAGTCATTTAGCGGACGCTCTTATCCAGAGCGACTTACAGGAGCAATTAGGGTTAAGTGCCTTGCTCAAGGGCACATCGACAGATATTTCACCTAGTCGGCTCGGGGATTAGAACCAGCGACCTTTCGGTTACTGGCACAACGCTCTTACCCACTAAGCTACCTGCCATCCCCATTATAATTTGCTTATACAAAATGATAGGCATACTCAAGGCTAAATACGTAATGGAATTTATGATAGATCGCACATATTAATACATGAACCACTCTAAATATCAGTTTTAGAAATGTCTAATATGGTTCAAATAGACAAATAAGACTGCATCCAATTCCTCCAGAATTTCTAATAAGTGCTAGGTGTGAAGGTATATTTGGAGGTGGTGCTTCGGAAGCTTTGATTAGGACAGCCAGTAATTAAAGGCTTGTTAATTTGTATTGTTATGCTAAAAGTTGGACAGCAACATTAAACGCGTGTGTACTCGTCCTCGGTATGGGGTATGAAGGAAATCACACGTTGTTTGTAAAGGCGTAGAGGTGCAGAGAAGCGGCTAGAAAATACTTAATCGGGATAGTGTGGAGGAAGTGTGTCTCGGCCCAGTGGCAAAGCTATCTGCCCAGGTCCCTGTGTTTGCACGGCTCCAGTGAGAAGGACGTGATAAGTGGATTTAAATAATAAACCTGTTTAAAAGATCAAACAAGCAGACAATGCAATCACAGACTTGCAGTCAGTGTACACCATCTCAATACACATTCGTTTCCGTTACAATCAACAAAAATAGGATCATTACACGTTAAAGTAATAACTTCTATATTGCAATGTATATTATGGTGTATAAGTCTTTATTATCCCAAAACCCTAGAGAACGTTATTGCCTAATTGTGTTAGACATTTAGGCCTGTTGTTTTGTGTAATTACATTATGTGTTCTTTGTTCATAATGATCAGCTAAATTGCAGAATGGACAACACAAATTGTTTTCTTCTAACAGGTCTAAATAGGCTTAAAATGCAATTCTAGGCAATTCTCTTATTTACACAAAAATATATCTATAATGGAACAAATCATTTTTGATTGGGAAAAGTAAGAAAATGTTTCCGTTGACAATGAATGAGAAATATAAAATAAGGACAGGGCCTATTACGGTCAACCATAATTATAAAGAACAGGACCACATATGGCCATTATGGAATCATTCTCATCGTGAATCATTGCAATTGGGAGCCAGCAGGCCTATTCATACACTCTTAGAAAAAAGGGTTCCAAAAGGGTTATTCGGCTGTCCCCATAGGATAATCCTTTTTGGTTCCAGGTAGAACCCCTTTTGTCTCCAGGTAGAACTCTTTTCGGTTCCATGTAGAACCCTCTGTGGAAAGGGTTCTACATTGAACCCAAAACGGTTCAACCTGCAACCTAGGTTGAAGATGGGAAGGTCAAAACAATGAAGTAATTCCATACGGAAGCGTTCTAAAATTCATGTGACCAGCTCCATTGATAACTACTAGCGCCGTTTCTAACTAGCAACGCTTGTCCCATGAATTGCAAAGAGTTATGGGATATTAATCCTCTTGTCTTAACCTGTATATTTTGAACAACCAAACGGTTCTACCTGCAACCAAAAAGGGTTCTTCAAATGGTTATTCTATGGGGACAGCCGAATAACCTTTTTAGGTTCTAGATAGCACCTTTTCTTAACAGTGTTGACTAAGCTGTTACCTCTATTAAAAAATATGTATTTATTCACACTGTCAATATGCAGTCGTTGTATACTAACATATATTGTTTGGTTTTGTGCCTAAACACATTTTAATAATCATGCATTCTTCCTGTGTCCCCTCGCAGGAGGTTCGGGACAAAGTGCGCGGGCTGTTCTCAAGGCATCTCGCCGAACGACTTGGTCCGGAGGGCAAGGAGCAAAGTGTTTCATCTCAACTGCTTCACCTGCATGATGTGTAACAAACAGCTATCCACGGGAGAGGAGCTCTACATCATAGACGAAAACAAATTTGTCTGCAAAGAAGATTATCTAACCCACAGCAATGGGAAAGACACAAACCTTCTCTCAGGTAGGCCTATACGGCCAAATTGGCTTTATAATTTTGGGCGCATGGATACTAAATTGTGATGGATGTGAGGTATTCCACCCACAGTTTGGTGTTGAATGATCATGCATCAATTCAATGGTTTGAGGAAGAACATGGCCGTTCTCTTGCATCTATTGTAGGCCCTATGCCTAAGCTATTTTATTTTATGGTAAAAACAGAAATAAGGATTTGCGCAATTGCATAGCCTATATTTTCACACAATTGCTAAAGATTTCTTTGGATTTTAGGTCTAAGCCGAAATATCAAATTCTATTTGCATAGATGTTAATTATCGGACTTTGGTTGTATGGCTATTGGAGACCCATACGCCTATTGATTTTATTGTAGGCCCATTTTATGACATTTAATGAATTGGTCGCTGAAAAATAACTGATGGACAAATAGTGTTCATAAAAATAATTTAAATCTGCATAGGTTATTATTTCAGGTAGGCCTATAGTGTAATAAGCCTATATACATTTGTAAAAAACCCCACATATTCCTCATTATATTGAGGTTATAGGGTTACACATGGACTGTGTGTCTAAGCTTTTTCTGTCCTTTTTCGTTTTTACAGTAACAGCATGTAGCGATCCAAGTTTATCACCGGATTCTCAAGACCAGTTACAGGACGATGTAAAGGACACTGAAATAGCCAATCTGTCGGACAAAGAAACGGGTAGTAATGAGAACGATGGCGAAAACCTTGGCGGTAAACGACGTGGACCGCGAACCACCATCAAAGCAAAGCAACTGGAGACCCTGAAAGCGGCGTTCGCTGCCACCCCCAAACCCACGAGACACATCAGGGAGCAGCTCGCGCAAGAGACTGGGCTGAACATGAGAGTCATTCAGGTAATGGCAATGACAAATGCACTATAATGACATACATGCAATTCCTGATGCAGCTCATGTCATATTGGTATGGGAGTGGATGAGGACCGTATATTTCAGTGGGAGCGGGCCGTTGTGAGAGGAGGGGAGTTGGGGGACCCTCACCTTGTGCGCTTTCAGGTTTACGCACTTATTAAAACGTGTGATATAGCAGCTTATATTTTATGGAAAGTATCTCCCTGAGCGCCTGAGAAAAAAAAGAAAAATGGTGGGGGCACGTGGAGTGGGGTCTTGGTTGGCAATTGTTTTTCCATGTTGGGCACGGTGTCAACAGTTCGCCACAGTGAGACCTCATCACAATCACTCCGCTCCTTTCTCATCTGCCTTCCCGCTTAAAGATGGGGTTGCCTAGAAATTGCATGGTCACACTGAATTGAACGAGCGAAAGATTGGCTGCGATCGAGGTTTATTTGGAAAGCGTAATTTATATGGGTATTTTTGATTCTTGGCGTGCAGGATGGGTAAATACGCCAATTGGCCTGAGACTGGTGAGAGCGATGGGTGTCTTGGCAACGCTGGGCCATCACGTTTTGCGACCACATTTAGCCATGCTGTGACCATTTTCAGTCAAGTGTAAACGCAGAAATCTGTTTCAGGAGACTTAGTATTAATATGATTGTTGTTGTTGTCGTTATTATTATTATTATTATTATTATTATTATTATTATTATTATTATTACCAGTGGTATTTATTTGACATGTTTAATTTTAACAAATTCCGCAACATAATTCAAAAAAGTAGGCCTATCATTTGGATGTCTTTTTTGTCTTGTGGCATTATTTGTGGCCTATTTTCAAGAGTTTAAAAGTAGGCTACTGAAAATTAGGCTACTGAAGATGCACATCTGATTTAGTTTTTTTTAGTTGCTCTCTGTATCTCATCACCTAAATTCAAAAATAAGCGCACACACATAAGCGCATCCGCACCGTTGAGAGTCTCCAATGATTGGGCTAGTGCTGCGGGGACATGGTAAACTATTAACAAAAGATTGAACCGCAGATCAAGTAAAAAAAAAAAAAAAGGTTTATGGAGATTAATAAAGTGGCGAAGTTGGATATTTAAGAGCGTCAGGGAAGAGCATAATTAGCAGAAGGAATATATAGATTACGAATTAATAACCTCGCAGAGCCGGTTAATATATCGGTAACAACCCTCCTATTAAGTATTAATTAGATATTTTAAAGGTTCCTGCTGCTGCCCCCTCAGTCGGGGTAAATGGAGGGTTAAAATATCATTAAACTGAGGTTAGATATGTGAGTCTGGAGTGACGATAATTAGTAGTAATCTTGTCCCTGCAATACGACTTCACTCCATCAGGTCACCACGCACCGAACCTGACCACCATGCAGGGCAGCGCGTGCACGGGCACAAACAGGGACCCAGGTTATGCATGGCCTGGGTGTTGCTTTGATGTTGATCACGGATCTATAAACAAAGCAATGATATTATAACGGTAAAGCAGTAATAATGATAAAAGGACATCATAATTAATGCTTATATTGTTTGAATAGTTCTGATATCAAAGTTCGGCTACTTTTGATATAGGCTACTAATCTATAATGATATTTCTACAAAACAAGTTTTTCTATCTGTAGTGAAGTAAAGTGTTTGTTTTTATTTTTATTACTATGCAATTTGGATTCTGCACATTTACATCCTGTGTGCATTCAATTCTTTATCTTAATATATAGAGATTTGTGGTCAAATGTCATTTTGGATACAGAGGCAATCTTTAGTGTGAGCCTCTCTTTGTCTCCAACTCTCCAGAAGTAATTTGTGCACTTAAATTCTTCCAATCCATTTAATTTTCATTAACGTTGCTCTATGCTGACTTGTGTGCTCCGTAGGTATGGTTTCAGAACCGGCGGTCCAAAGAGCGACGCATGAAGCAATTGAGCGCCCTGGGTGCGAGACGGCACGCGTTCTTCCGGAGCCCGAGGAGAATGAGAACACTAGTGGACCGGCTGGAACCCGGGGAATTAATTCCAAACGGTCCCTTCTCTTACTACGGAGGTAAGAAGAGTGATGACACGGCGTGCGTGTCCCAGCGGGTTTATCAGTTTCACATGTTTGGCTGAAATGTCGCATAATTGTATGTGTCCGCCAAGCGCTGTTTCCATTTGTCGCGCTGCCCCAGGACGCCTTTGATGACTATCATGGCTTATCAGATGAGCGCAACACACATAATTGGAATAGGACCTGCACCGAGAGGAGTGCTTTTAAATGTTTGGGTATGGATGGACATTATCTAGAGATGGATTAGTTAGGATGCTGTGCCAAATCTTCACGTGTTAAAAAATGTGATAGATGATTTACAATGGGAGATAATCAACGATTATGCACGATTACACATGTGCCAAAACGCTACAAAAAGGTTTGAAGTGATTCGAAATTGAGTTTGTTAAATTACAATGTTTAAATAACGTGTCTCTTTAAATATTGTCTCAGATTATAAACTTCAATCATCTGACCCATTTGTCCAAACTAGAAAATAAAAAATAAATAAAATAGGCCTAATAAAAATAACAATTACAGTAGAATGGAGAATCAATCTTGATATGGTGTTAATGTAAGATAAACAGCTGGCAATAACAGTTAATGCAAGAGGCCTAAATATGTCATTAACTATGAATAAATAATCACTAGTACATTATTATTATTGTTCTCTGTATGTCAGGTATATTATGTCAACATTCAAACTGTATTATGTTATCTCACTCACCGAATTTTCTAAAAAATGTTCCTTACAAGATGACATTCACATGCAAGAATGGTGCATTTGTAGGCCTACTGTTTTCCTAGGAAGGTGCTTGAAACATATTTGGTTGTGACATGCATTTTGTGTTTCTTTGAGGAATATTTAGAATGTTGATGCTTGGAGAGGGTAGTTGAATTTGAGAAATGAACTCACAATAAATTGCAAATAATTTAGAGAAATTATTAATATACAAACATGTTTATCTACTCCTTTGGGCAGATTACAGATTTTTCACCTTGTCAACTCGGGGATTCGAACTAGCAACATTTCTGATATTGGCCCAACGCTCTAACCACTAGGCTACCTGCCACCCTTAAAATGTAATAATGTAGACTTTTCTTGATTGTGGTGGAGTGTGTGCTTCCTTATTTCAATTTTCCTAACATGTTTTGTGGATATAAATAGTGTGTGGTGGACTCTTGTCCTGCTGAAATATTTTTTTTCATCTTAGAAGGTAAAATCTCTGATGAAATGGTCCCCATTTTAATTAATTTTGCTGCGGCGTTGTTCTCCCCACCCAATTGCAGTTTTGATTTAAGTGTAATGTCCTTTGACTAATGTGCCACGGCGAGGGTTTCTCCCTATGCAACTTCAGGCTATGTATATTCAATGAATTCCTGAATATTTCTGAGATCATTTTTACACGCCGCATTGTTCCCAGGCTAACCCTGATTTTTTGTCGATCTGCAGATTATCAAAGCGAGTACTACGGTCCAGGAGGGAACTACGACTTCTTTCCTCAGGGGCCTCCATCGTCGCAGGCACAGACCCCCATAGACCTCCCCTTCGTGCCCTCCTCAGGCCCCACGGGCACCCCTCTAGGTGGTATGGACCATCCCCTGCCCGGGCACCACCCCTCCAGTGAGGTGCAGCGCTATTCTGACATCATGTCCCACCACCCTGGGGACTCGCCCAGTCCGGAGCCAGGCATCCCAGGGCCCATGCACAGCATCTCCTCTGAGGTGTACGGCCCCAGCCCACCCTTTACCTCACTGTCCCTCAATGGCAGCGGATACGGCAACCACCTGTCCCACGCACCCTCGGAAATGAACGAGGGCACCGTCTGGTAGCTTTAGAGAGCTGACTGTACCATTGAGAGATTCAATAGGGGAGGACAGGAGAGCGGGCATGGGTAGGGGCAGGGGTAGGGACAGCAGTCAAATCATTTTTTGTCATATTTATTTATTTAATTTCCCCATATGATGTTTTTTGCAGGGGAAACAATATGGCGAAAAACAAAACGTGGACAATGTGGTTGTAAACATTTACCTTGGTATTGTGTTGATGTTTCGATTGCTTCTTTTTCTAAACCCGAATAAGGACTTGGGCAGATAGAAGACTGTGTGTGACTGTTGACCCTGTGGGCCCCTGGCTGCCCCGGGCCCCTGCTCTCCATGGCTGTGACCCTTCCTGACTCCTGTCAGTGGCCTAGCACAGTGACGCCCCTCCAAACAGACGCCACTGGGAAAACAACTATTCTGAAAACAAGTAATATGTCCCAAATCCACAAAAACATCATTAGCTACTGTCAAAGACTCAACAGCTTTACAGAAAAAAGAAGGAAGGGTGGTTGGTCTGAACGCTAACCTGCGCCACTGGCACTAAAAGAAGGCTGAAAGGCATCAGACTCTATTTATGGCACTAGACGTGTCCCTTGTATTTATTCAAAAGCTCCTCAGACCTCTTTGCCTCTCAAGGCTCTGCCATATTGACACTGAAACAACCTTTTTGACACTAAATATGTTTCTGAAGGCCAGGGGAAGTACAGTTTTTTCTCTCCATCTGGACAGTTTCCTTTTTTTGGTAAAAAAATCAATCCACCAAATCTGAAGAAGTTGGTCTTCAAAGGGAAAACAAAAGGCAAAGTTATATTTAAATTCAACAGAACTTGAAATGTTGTTAAATGAAGTCTACCTTCTAAAAATCTTTTAATGGGAGTCTGAAAGGGACTTAGAACAGTCAACTGTTTACGTAATATATTTAATTCAGGAGTTAAAAGTGTCAAACCATGTTTTAGAATCTCTTGATCCAGATAAAATGTTCCAAGCAACCAACCAAACTTTTGTATTGATTTTCTTTATATTGTATGAAGACAAACACGTTTGCTGGGGTTATGGTTCACTGTGCTAGTTTGTACAAGATGTTGTTTACAAAAACTAAAAAACTACAAAAACACACAAGTAGACAGTTGCCAAATAAAAAATAGCACAAATACTGTAAAAGTGCTTTGCACCATCATCTGCAGAATGTGTTGAGACAAAGTGTAAGTGTTAAAAAATGCTAAGGAGTAATTTACTTCTTAATTTTTGTAGTCTGCTGAAAAACATTCATAACGTTGTTAATATAACATACTTAGACAGGTTTTATTTTTGTGTCTTCAAAGGAAAATCCAAACTATTAAATTAATGGTCGAATATGCAGCTAGCGGCTTCTACTTTCTTTAAATATCGAGCCCTCATGGTATGTCTGTTACTGTTCTAATAAACCTAAGCTTATGTGACCTCCAGTGCATTTTAGACCATTCACTGTATAAATACAACATGTTGAAAACAATTGTGAGTTTTTAATAAAACTAGAAAATATACAATTTGAATGATAACACATTTACTTTGGACAGATCATCTCTTACCTTAGCTACATTTAATATATTTTATATTTCAAAATTATAAAAGTGTGGGTTATTTCTCTTATATGCTCTTTTCAATTTAGTATGAAGGAAATGTTTATGTATGTCTTTACTGAAGTCAACTGAACAGGTTTAGGATAATAACCACTGCAGTATAGTATTTACTAAATGCAAGCAGTTTGATCTGATTTGCACATCCATACAGAGAATGGAATTGTCAACGATTGTTTTTGCTACGCACACACACGCACGCACGCACGCACACACACACACACTCACTCACACACACGCAAGCTCACTCACTCACACACACACACACACACACACACACACACACACACACACACACACACACACACACACACACACACACACACACACACACACACACACACACACACACACACACACACACACACACACACACTCACGCACACTCACACACACACACACACACTCACACACACACACACACACACACACACACACACACACACACACACACACACACACACACACACACACTCACACACACACACACACACACACACACACACACACACACACACACACACACACACACACACACACACACACACACACACACACACACACACACACACACAGTAATAACTACATAATAACTGGATGCTGTGTTGACTAGCTCTGTAGTCACACCATAACAGTAATGCCATGCAATGTGTTGCTATATACTGTATGGCAGTGGTCGTCACACACCAATCTGAAGGGACATTTTCTCCAGTATCACAGCAGAGCATGAAACATTTTGGTTGCAATTTTACTTCTCTCTCTGTTTATAAGAACAATTCATATGTAGAATTCTGCAGGGATTCGAATAACAAGGAAATCTTGCTGACTTGAGTTTCCCCAGTAATAGAAATGGTTGACAGCGTAACAGCAGCCAACACAAGGGGGAGTTCTTCAGTAATTCCACAGAATTAATTCATAAATTATGCTGACATCGCTTCTTTTCCCACAGTCCTGGCAATGGTTTTGACCTCTTGGAAGTAATTCCATTTCTTGAGGTCGTGGAAGGACTGTGACTATGAAGAAAGTATGAATCTGGGTCTCTTGGTTATTGTAGTTTTAGTATTCCTACCTCATGGGAAGGGAAAGGGGATTCCTAGTCAGTTGCACAACTAAATGCATTAAACCAAAATGTGTCTTCATAATTTAACCCAACCCATCTGAATCAGAGAGGTGCAAGGAGCTGCTTTAATCAACATCCACAGCACCCAGGAAGCAGTTGTTGTTGGGGGTTAACTGCCTTGCTCAAGAGAGAACAGAAGATTTTTCCACCTTGACCGGCTCGGGGATTAGAACCAGTGACCTTTCAGTTACTGGCCCAACACTCTTAACCGCTAGGCTACCTGCTGTTATGGGGGGCTTCTAGTCCTTATGTAGACCACATATAAACAAACAAACAAACAAACATAAACAAACAAACATCAACAAACAAACAATAAACAAAGTGAAACAAAACAACTTAAAACAAGTACTGGAAGTGCAACATTCACAAACTTCTGATTTATTTCAGTGTATAAAACATAATGACCAAAGGAATGAAATGCATTGAAATGATCCGGTGTTAAAATTATTCATAGGTGCGGGTGGTGTGGCGGTGGGTATAGGATTGTGGGATGTATCCAGGGGAAGAGGCCTTTATCTCTGGGAACCTGTATGGCTGCCTGCTAGCCTGAACGCTGCCTGACTGCCTGCCGCCCTGCTAGCCCCCTGGCCACTGGACCATAATCCACCATGAATGAATCATGGTCCTGAGAGTTAACCAGGCCTGGGGGGCCAAGGGCTTGGGGCCGGTGTATGTGTGTATTTGTGTGTGTGAGTATGGGGGATAGTCCTATCCTGAGCCCCAAGGCTTAGTCCCAAACTAACGCTATGCACTGCCACCCACCCTGGGGCCAAGGCTCTTTAAATTCAAATATCCTATTGATCATGCATCGGATATTGGTTCAAACTGACCTTGTAGTCACATTAAAATAAATGCATCCTTAACTGTATTGAAGGATTTTAAATTGCGCTTTGAATTCCTGAACGAGGGGATTTGAATTTAGCTCACAGCCTCTAGGGCTTGGGTTAGGAAGGGAGGAAAGCAGAGGGGCCGGGGTGTACATGATGGTTTACAGTAGTGCAGGGCCAGGATGGATCAACCAAAGAGGATATGCCCCAGCAGACAGATGCCACAATAGTTCTGCACTGCAGCCAAACTGAAAGGTTTTTACAGCTCTGCTCCATATGAGTAACATTTGGCTTGTGCTTTTAATGCAGAGTGGCTCGGCTGGAAGTGCACTCTCCTCTGAGTGGAGTGGGTAAGCAAACAAACACATGGCATGGCACGTCTTCATTTTCTGCCTCAAATAAATGACATGTCTCAGAACGGATTCCGAACCAAACCAGAATACTAATCAATGGAACAGGCCGGTTGAGCAGACAGAGTTTCTTAGTTGTGTATACATATTGAGCTGCTAGGCCGGGGTGATATCCAGCCATGCAGCTGCCTGGCAGGCTACTGCTGCTTTCTGCTGACTGGCAGGGCAGGCAAGCAGGCTGCTGCTTGTGGTTCTCAACTACAGATGTAGGATCTTCATTTGATAACTTTTGTTGCTGAGAATTTTCCTGCACCACAGGAAATGAAGACTAGCGTCGTGATTTACATATATTCACTGAAAACTGACACTAACACACGGTTCTATTAACAATATTGCACTTTTCACGTAGACTACTTTTGGCCAGCTAATAGCCTAACCACAGATCAAGCAATATTATGGACTAAACGTTAAAATCCTGTTACTGCAGAATTATTTTGCTGTGACAACATAGGTCAAATTAAGATCTTACATCTGTACTGAGAACTAGCTAACTGACTGCATTCATATCTACACAGTAACTGCAGTAACATCATTTGATAGACCCAATGAAGCCTGTACTGGATTCTGATGATCTTCTGAAGTCACATCTCTCGCTCAAGGACCACTGATGTAGATACAGCTAAGGCAACTATAATGTAACTTTTTTAATGGATACCAGTACTCCAATACTCACCAGTACTCATGACCTGTGATAGGTAAAATGATGGGATAGGTGTCATCACTTTGATCTACCAAGAAGACTTTAATACTCGTGGTCAGGAAAGAGGGAAATGAAAAAGGAACCATTGATGTAACCTGTAAAAGCTACAGCGTAAAGCAAAGATCCAATCCTAGCAGATGCTTCTAAAAGTGGAGGATATAGTCATTGGTTTCACCCTGGGGTTGTCCTGATGGCACAGTATGTTAGCGTGGGGTTGTTCTGATTAACACAGAGCATGGACTGTATCTGCACCTTCTGACAGACTAGAAGAGAGATTCATTTGTCATTCAGCACTTGACTGCTGTGTCGTGGCCAGGGGCAAGGGTTCCCTCGATGAGTTGGCGGTTTCATTGTACTGTGCAAGTAACATTTCCAATACAGTTTTTTTCGATTG